TGCAACACGTGGCCAGATCACACTCATCATCAACATCACATGTCATGTTGACTTTTCCCAATAATTTATATCACTTTACAAAACGTTTAGGTCTTTTGAGCCAAGCTAATGGCGTACTGTAGCTTAGCAACGTCAGTTTATTGGTCCACCCCTTTGGTCCTGACTGTGAGCGTGTTAGCGTTTAGCTCAAAGCACCACTGTGCTAGAGTAGAGTCTTACAGCTTGTTTAGTCTTGTTTGGTTGAGAATGAAAATCTGTAACATAATCTGTGTTCAAGGTTTTCTCCTTTTGCCTTCAGAAGCAGCAACTCTCTGAGAAATCCGGCTGGGTTTATGGATCCTTCTTCAGTTCATGGTTTTCTAAACGTTTCATGCTTTCGCCTGTATCTTTAATACATCATCCACTGTTCACTGTTATCACGATGTACTTCAGAGTTTGGCAATTTAGAGTTAATAGGAACGTGATTGTCTTTCTGAGCATCATATTAAATGTTTACAAGACCCCTCCTCCTTCTAAATGCATTCCCTCATCCTTTATGGTGGATTTACATGAACCTGCAAGGTAATAAAAAACTACTTGATGCAAACGGTAACTCATCAGATAAACCATGTCACACAAAAGCAGTCCATAACATATTATATATCAGAGCAAGACAAGGAAGTCTGCAATGCAATGTTTAATCATTGACCTTTAAGCATTCATTCTGAGCTAATCCTAATCTACTAATCCTACAAGCAGAAGAATCGAGTGTCACAAACTAAATATGCAGTAGCTCCCTGCAGTAGTGTCCAGTAGCACTGATGACACGGGTTATCAGGGGAAAGAAACATTAAAATACCCGATACCAGGAAATGTGCAGCCCGGTGATAACACAGCTGATTAAGCATCACAAAGGCTTGGCTGTGCTCTCACAGCTACCAGAACAACTCGTTACAGGAACATGTTTGTTTCCCTCTCTATCCTTGAGATTGTGCGGTGATGATCAGAGAAAAGTGTGTTATGGTTTAATGTTTTTAGTTTTAGATTGGAATTGAGTCCATACACTTCTCCTTTAATTGCCTGCATATACACGTTACGTAGTTCATCTTTGGGCTGATTTGTGGACGACAGTATCTATCTTAATCTTGAAATAACTTAACAGTCTTCTATTGAGAAACATGTAACTTATCACTTAAAGCCTTTCTGTCACACCCTTCCGCCTGACATCTTTAACCTAATAAAATCAAAATGAGAGGGATTGTCTGTTTGCGGTCCCTTAAAAATAGACAAGTGGAAGTTTTATGAGAGGATAAATTGGACTTCACAAAGTTACAAGCTCGTATATATGTCCTGTGAAAGTGAAGCACTGCTAGGCTTAAAAGTGGACACACCCACATCCAGTGTTATTCCAACATTGATACAGTTTTTGTAATGCTAATATTGAGTGGCAGTTAAAGCAATGCACTATACAAAATTTATTTTAAATTTCAAGTGCAATGAGGCTGTCACATCATTCTTAGAAAGTGATAAGATGCCAGCTACTTAAAGTACAAACTCAATATCAAAAACCAAACATCACAGGGGCACGTTCCTTTCTGATTGCTTCAGTTATTCCAACAGATCCTTCAGGTAACAGTCAACAAGAAAGGTGAAATCAAACGTGCCTTATTCCACATATTTTCATCCAAATAATGTTCACTGGGTTGGAAAAATAAACAACATTTCTGTGTTATCAGAGTAACCCTGGAAGTTGGTGATGGATTTTTGTGGTCATACGGAATTTAGGTGAGTTGCCTTATCATATAACACCAATTTTCCTTAGTTGACTTTATCTGAGCTTGGTCGAAAGTGAAAAGTTAAATATGAAGAGGAAACAATTAGTTTCTGTTTCCATCAAAATGCATTGTGCAAATCTCAAACTATAATCTTCCTATAATCTGGACAAAACTAAGGATTGCAAGTGGTTAGAACATAGAAATATAAAGTATCTGTATTAAAGAAACACTACACCAACAAACCAAGTTTCTGATAAGTTATAATCTTTAAAATACGATTCATTGAAAGGCACAAAATTTTGTGCCTTTCAAGATTTACCTAATGTTTACTTCCTAACAGATTACACTGTAAAATCTCACAATCAATAATATTATATAAACTATTCTTTTATCATGAACTTTTGGTTTCAGGTCAGCTTCAATTTAGTTTTCCCAACTTTTTTATGTTTACCATGCGGCACAGACATGAACATGAACAATCTATTAAGCTGGGATAAAATGTGGTAATATAATATATCCTGTAATATGGTACTACTGTATGATGTGGGACAGTTCCCGTAGTACTATTTCATCAGGGTTGAACTGGGAAGTAGTTGGCGTGAGGTTAAAACAAAGATTTAACCTTAGCTTTAAAACAGACATTCATTATGATCTACTTTTGATGAAATACAGTGTAAGCCTGAACCTGATTTGTGTAATCCTAATTTACATATCAAACATATTTTACTTATCCGCTCCGTGTTAGCAACTCCATGTCAAGTTGGAAATGCTCCAGAGTTTTTTTTCTGCTCAGCTCTCTCTGATGACTAACAGTTATCAGCATCAGTGTAATGGAGAGCTGGCAGGTATAAAAGGACAGACAGAAGGGTGGGGACAGCCATAAAGTACGAAGGAAACAGCTGAAGACCAAAATGGAGAAGATAGGGATGCTTGTCCTCTGTGTCTGTTTGACCTTCATGTCACTGGGCTGCACTGAGGTAAGGGACACTTTGAATTCATGATGCAAAACATGTTGTTGGACAAGTGACCTGAGTTTGTGTCCACATTCAGTAGAAAAATTACTAGTTTTTTGGTTGGTACAAGAAAACGTTTCTGTTTGGATTTTAAGTTTTACAAAGAGCAAAAGACCTCTCTTGCAAAACGTTAACACCTAATCAAGAGTGAAATACCGGTAATAAATTAAATAATGAGAATGAAAATATTTTTTTTATTCTTGACCTTGTAAATATAGGCCCATTATTTTGTAGCTGTTCTGGAGCTTTTTTTTTCTGAGCACTGTATTGACTTCCTATCACTGTTGGCTAAAAAGGGTAAATTAAAATTTCATTCTTGACCTTGGAAAGAGTAGTTGATTTTTTATTTGGAGTTTGTATATTTATTCAGCTTTTTTGATCATATTGTGTTTAGTAAAACCATGAAAATCATAAAAAAATGGTTACTTTACAAACTGGCTCAATACACATGACTACTTAACTTTATTTTTAAATAGCTTTTCAAATTGAAGTAGTTATAAGGGTTGGATTTAATTAACCTTTTGTACAATTACCTCTGAATGAGTGTCACCAAACTTGTAATGATACATTTTGTTCTACATCTGTGCGCTCTTGACCAGGAAATTTATTTATAGCTCCTCCACTGCTATAATAATTCAGTGAAACTGAATATATTAGACCTACTTTACTTTGTCAGCCCTAACTAATCCTTTCTTTTGCTTGAGGGAGCCACGGGAGTGCTCCTATTTCCAGATATACTAGATACGACCTATCAGGAAATATAAGGCATAGGTTTGAACTAGAGGGAGGATACAGATGTAGATACACTGGGTTCTGTAAGGGGGCATTAAGTGGATGGCAGACATGTATTGCAGGCCTCTACCAGCCACAGCAATATGCAAAGTGCGATTAATATCTTCATGCCTCATGTACTCAGATGGAGCAGCAGGTGCTTGACCTTTTGCATGCTGTGGCTATGATTGAGACACACTGTACTGCAGCTTTATCTGTGTCATCAACTGATAGTATAATACAGACAGGAAAAAGTAACAGCATAAATTGGTGTTAAGTGAAAGAGAGGGCAGGGTGAGAAGAGAATTTTTCCCAGTGATAAGTGCTACAGTTTATTGAATTCCTTTGTAAAGTTTCCAAATATATTTTATATTGTAACGTTTTAGTTTTTTAAAGGGTCGATTTACCCAATTTACATGTTTTCCATGCAGATACTGTCATTCTGGTTTTGTTTGCCCAGGTTTAAACAGGCCTGTGTATGCCGCTACCCCAGTACAGTAGAGGAAATTCATTTGTGGACTCATATTAAAGAAAATTAAAAAATCTGTTTAATATTTTGGGAAATATATTTTCTTTCTCCCCAAAAGTGAAATATGAAGATCAATATCAATCTCTTATCTGTGCGTCTACATACACATCTAGAGTCAGGTCGTACTAGAGGAAAAAAAAAAAACTAGATCAGAAAAAAAGAGGGTGATCAGCAAGCTTGTCTCTGTTCTAAGTAGAAACCAACCAACACCTTTGAAGCACACATTTTGGGTTTATGACCAGAAATTCTATTCTTCTCTATTGTACTGGGATGGAGGTGGAAATAATGAACATGCATATCTCAAAAACTGAGCAAATAAAACCAGATAGCACTAGTAGAAAGTGAGAAAAATAGGTTTCTATATTGTTTTATTGTAGTGAGCTTTAATATATAGATACTATACTTTACACATACTGCATTGGCCACTGATTCTTATTCTAAATGTGACTCTGGACAATGTGAACTGTGTTTTACAGGAACAAAATGCAAATACAACAGTGGCCTCCAACAACGCATATTCATCTAGTACCACCCAATATATAGCAGCTTCCACACCCAACTCGACTCACGTAACCTCTGCCAACCAGAATACTGGAACTACAAGAGCACCTCCCACCTCCTCCACCTTAGCTCACTCCAAGGCTACCATCACTTCATCAGACCGGCCCAGAAGTTCCAATGGAGCAACTCAAACGACATCCACCACGAAATCCACCACGAAATCCACCACGGAATCCACCAAGGAATCCACCACGAAATCCACCACGAAATCCACCACTCGCGATTCTACAACTGGCAGTGGGACTAACACTCCCACAGCTTCCACTACGACAGCAAAAGCAGGGTCTGCCTCTTTGTTCGGCTCCTGCAGTCACCTACTGGTGCCTGTGATCTCTGTTCTGATCTACGCTGCATAGGGCAAAAAGTGTAACCCCCCACAGATTCACCTTCCCTCAATAGTAATATTTACTCTGACTGTCTTGCATTTATCATATCAATGCTATGAAGTGCTTTGTTTGCTCTGAGCCCTTTTCCACTTTTAACCAAGATTAAAACACACAATCTTAATAAACATATCAATTATGTATAATTCTAATATAATAACACAGGATATGGAATTTCTCTGGATGTTTTGGCAAATAAAATGGTAACTGGATGTATTTTCTAATAAAACATAGCAGTTGGGAGGGGAATGGTGGGAAACTCTTGGGGAAAATGTGTATAAAACTGAATTAGTCCTGCAAGAACCTCAATTCGACTAAAACTGATGGAAATGGTAGACTTGCAGACGCAACACCATTTGCATTTTGATGCTTAAGAGAGTCTTACTTTTATTCAAACAACATCACATTCAAATTCAGGTTGTTTGTCTCAAACCACCTTTAAAGTTTTGTTTTTCTCTCATGATGGCAATGTATTTCAGTTTATCTGTATAATGATTGCAAACTGATGGCATTTACTTTTGGTGTCCTACACCTTGGTCTGAGTAGTGTATGATGTTCCAAAAAGGGCAGGGCTTTTAGGGAAAAAAATCACTGTATATTCTTGGGAGACTAAGACGAGTTCTAACAAAATTAAAACAACAGGGGAAGGCAGTTTAAATTGAAGGTAGTGATGAATTTGAACATTTTAAGTTTGATAAGTGTGCTGTTTGAGCACCCAGTTTGTGGTTTAAATGCAGTCACAGATGTATTCCAATTGGTAGTTATTGAGGTATAAAATCAGCTGTATGTTTTTTCATCCTCAGAGTAACAAACATTTTCACTGGGGTAGTGATCCCCAAGGCTGCTTCAAAGAGGGCTGGCTCACTACAGTTTAGGAATTCTGCTTCATTAAATACTTCATTCAACAAGATAAAATTGTTTAAGATACTACATATCTAAGTATTAATCAGTGAGTTTCTTATTGAATTCTACAGTCAATCACAGCCATAAAAGGTTAAAAATAACTTTAGCTAAGTGACTGGAGGCACTTTGGTGAACAAAACAGCAGAGTCAAGGTATCTCTTACATCCATATCTAGATTGATTTCAATTGGCTCAGCATGAGGTTTTGCATTTGTGGTCCATAGCTTGGGTGGAGACTGAGGAAGGCTTCCTGAATGGAAATAGGTATCAGGTGAAACATCCGAATGCCTTATAAAAGGCCAGCCTCTGGAGACACACGTTTTATAAAACAAAGACTCTCTGCAAGGATATGCAAGTGTTTGACTGAATAAAACAACGAAACAAAAAAACCCAACAACTGAATAGCTGATAAAACAGAGGTTTTAAGAAGATATCTTCAGGTGTCTGTTTGTCTCCAAGAGGAAATCGTCTCTCATCTAACATGAAGTACCTTGTCCTGGGGCTGTTTTCATTGTCTCTGCTGGGATTTGTCTGGTCTACAGAGGTAAAATAAATAAATAAAATAAAATAATTTGTAACACAAAAAGCTCTAATATAATAAATGCAGTAATACATTTGATATTAATTATTATTATTATTATTATTAGTAGTAGTAGTATTGTTATTATTATTACAATTTTGTCATTTAGATCAATGCCAGAATTCACTCTGGAGTATTTTTCATAATATAATATACAATGTTATGCTCTGTAGGATTAAATACAATTCCATATTATATCAAATCTCTGTCCTCCTCTTCTTTTTCTCACACAAAACCAGAAACCACTTAATACCACAGTGATGGCATACAATAACACCTCCAATTCAACCTGGCCATCCAAGTTGAACACCACGAACAACAACAACATCAACAACCCCACGGGAACCAATCCCATCAATACGGGAACCAATCCCACAATGATGACGGGCACAGGTGGCATGAATACAATGACCACCAAGAATGGACAGAACCACATCTTCACATCTTTCAGGCTGCTGTTTGGATCATTTGTTCTTCAAGCAGTTTGGCAATGAGCGCCCTCTTGAGGCTCAGAGCTGGAGTGAGTCTTAAACAACAACATTGTTTGATCAAATTGCAAATTTGAGCATATTTTAGAATATTATTTTAGATAGTTGTCACAAAATTGTGGTTTAGGGGATTATGAAATGATTAGTGACAGAGCCAGTTTATTAATGTACTAACATACCTTTTACAGATTGAGTGAGTCAGATTCTGCATTCATGTGAATCATAATGGATTTAAGCATGTTTTTGAGCATTTTAAGAGATTAGCAATGTCTGATATGCAACTGAGGTTGGCATAGCCTAAACCCTTTGTACATAGCATAGGCCTATTTATTGTCCTGGCCTAGTAGTTGTGTTGACCTTTGAAGCAAGAGTTTAAGAAAAATATTACTAATGATTGTATACTACGTATAATATATTATATTAAATATGAAATATTTGTATTTACAATGTATATCTAACAAAAATAAAAAGAGCATAATTTCATTAAATATATGATAATGTCAAACTGTTTTTTCTTTTTTACAGTACCCTTTTTTTAAAACCATAGTGATTAAAAACAAAGCTTCAAAATATGACATGCTTGATCTATGATATTTAACAGGTTTATATTGACAGACAGTAGTCGATCAAGAGGTTTATTTAAGAGGGAGGCTCCCCACAAGCTTTTGTTGCCCGTTATGAAAAAGACTGGACATTAATACTCCATCAGCACCCAAATATTGGACTGCAGCCAATCTGTAACAACAACTCTTCTCATATTTCCCTTAAAACTGCACATTTATTTGATCTTTTTCTTGTAATAACTTAAATATTGTAGACCTAACCATATCATCCATCATAGTGGGTTTAAAAAACATTACCACACAACATATGGTAGTACACTACATGTAAGAAACAAGCATAAATTCTGCTTACATGAGTCAGCAGCTGGAGTGACAAAGATGGTATCACTAAGTCACAAAAGGGTCATTCATGGTTGTATGCTTCTATGGAGGCTTCAGGCTTACGTAGCGTATGTTATCATTCGATTTGCAAATGCATAAAAATGAAGGGAATGACATTAATAAAAGAGTAAAGTAATAAAAAACAAACTAAAAAAATGAGCAAACTGTATCTTGTCTAAATCAATTCCAAAACATGGTGATATATGGTTTTAGTTTGTTTTTTTAAATTGACACCTCAATGTCATTTTAAAGGCATTATTATGTATGAGTTTGACTTTTGCAGTTGTTGTGAAAGGTTGTGAGGTGATTTCAGTGTGTGAAAATACAAAAAAATGTATATAATATCTAGACAAACCAAAAAGTTGTAAAATGCTGATTAAAGTATCTCAGTAAGTTTGGAAAGTAGACTCATGGTCTTAATTACTTTTTTTTATAAAAGAATAAAATCTGACTGAATGACCTTTGTCCTGCGATGCAAGCTGCCACACATCACAAAATTATATCGTCATCTATTTGTTTCCAGTTTGTCAATCATCCACCAGGAGGAACCAAGCAGGGGGAATAGTTTTCCCTGTATGATTAATCTCATAAAAAGGATTATAAATACGTAAGTATAGGGAAGTGCATTCCGTGTATAAGCCAGATGTCAACATAACAGAGAGGAAGTCCATCATGGTTATTCATTGCTAAAAAAAAAAAAAAGTAAAATATATTCCAGATAATGTATCTTAAAGTTGCCTATTCACAGTAAGTGTGAATTTGAGGTTGGGTTAAAGGAAGATGAGCAGTCAAAGAATATGAGCATCATAGCAATCCCTGGGGATGATATGATATAATTATAATTTATATTTCCTCATAACTGACCAGTCCAAATGCTAATTTTCATTATTAAAATTTAACTTATTCTTTTTTCATAACAGGAACAACGTTTCAGCATGAATGGTGAATGGTGCAACAAACTTCCTGGAACCATTGCCAGGTTATTATACTGCATGTCATAAATGTATCACCTGCCCCTCCCGAAATGTGATATTTTTGTATAAAAGCAAGAACAAAAGTTTCCTCTCAGTTTCCCAGAAATAATTAGAAGAACACCAGGTCGGGGTGGGAGAACTTTCACAGCACTACAACACACACAAGCCGACCTTCTGCGCAAAAGAAAATTTTCAGTGACATTTCTGGTGCATCTCTACCTCCTTCGCTCTCCACCATGAAGATATTGGCTCTGGGATTTTGCATACTGTTGGCATTAGAAAAGGTAACTACTTACAAACTTTTTAAATTGTTCTTTGTAAAAATAATAAGAAGAATACTTTTTTCTACTATTACTATCTTTGTATAGATTTTTTTGCACTTTGCACATAACAAGATTTAACCAACAAATAATCAAAGACCAACCAATGCTTAACAGACAATGAGTGTCTTAAAAGCAAAGTCAGTGTGGGCGACTCAGTCTGGTGAGGTGTCACATTGTCCTGAAAGGGGTCAGATGAGGTTTTTCATGTAATTTAATAGGTCTTGTACCTAATGTTTTTTGTAATGTTTTATAATTTGACTGGAATTACAAAAGAAGACAACACAAGACAAGTCTCTAATGCAATGACTTATAGGTATAATAATAATAATTGGGTGATAACTGTGGAAGCAGAAGTATTGTTGCCGTATTTTGTTTCTAAGATCGATCTAAATGATGATGACCCACCCTATTCCCAATCAGGTTCAAGAAAACGCTGCAATGACTACAACCACCTCGGCAAGCAACACTACAACTGTTGCCAAAAACACCACTACAACCTTCGCCAAAACTGTTTCTACCACCACCTCTATGCCAACGACTACAACCACCTCAGCAACCATCACTACAACCGCCGCCCCAAACACCACTACAACTGTCGTCCCAAGCACCCCTACGACCGTCGCCCCAACTGTTTCTAACACCACCTCTACGCCAACGACTACAACCACCTCAGCAACCACCACTACAACCGCCACCCCAAAGACCACTACAACCCTCATCCCAAGCACCCCTACGACCGTCACCCCTACTGTTTCTACCACCACCTCTATGCCAATGACTACAACCACCTCGGCTACCACCACTACAACTGTTGCCCCAACTGTTTCTACCACCACCTCTATGCCAATGACTACAACCACCTCGGCTACCACCACTACAACTGTAGCCCCAACTGTTTCTACCACCACCTCTATGCCAATGACTACAACCACCTCGGCTACCACCACTACAACTGTTGCCCCAACTGTTTCTACCACCACCTCTACGCCAACGACTACAACCACCTCTGCAACCACCACTACAACTGTCGCCCCTCCTGTTTCTACCACCACCTCTATGCTAATGACTACAACGACCTCTGCATTCATGTCTACAACTGTTGCCCCAGACTCTACTATAAACATGTCTACAGCGATTTCTGCGATAGCTATGACCACCCCTACCACCGGGAATACAACCACCACAGCAATGACAAAGACGTCAACTACACAAACCACCACCACACACAATGGAGGCTCAAAAGTCAAAACTTCTCTACTGTTTTGTGTTGTGCCATTGTTGCTTTACATGCTGTGCCCCTGAACAGGAACTTGCAAAACCCACCTACTGGACTAAAAGATTTAATTTCCTCTCTGTGTCAACATTTCTCAGTGTTGTCTGTGCTTGTTATGCTGTTTGTATCCACACTGTTTAATCAGATATTAACATTAAATTTAAAATGATAACATTGACGAAAAAGTCAAATAACATTGTAATAAATAATATGTAATAAAGTTTAGTATTAAAAAGTAAAGGTGAAAATAGAAAAAAGAGAAAGTGTGGCATTGCTCTCTGTTTATAAGCACCTGAAAAGAAATTCTGTATATAAATACAACATCAGGATGAAGGGAAAGGATTGTGGCAGATATTTAAAGTAATAAAAACAAATTGCACTCATAAAATATCAAACATAACTTAAATTTAGTTACATGTATTTGTATGTCCTTTAAATGCAAACACGCAAATTATGCAATTAAATGACATTCCATAAAATTGCAATACAGTAGCCTTAGAGCATCTCAAAATGTGTAGCTTTTGTTTAATCTTCAGATCGACAGATGGCCAGCAGAGCCTGTAGATGATCTCCTTTGAACTGTTTCTGTTGAACAAAAAAAAAAAACAGTTCACATGTAAAAATTACTATACCGATTCCTTAAAAGAATAAAAACACAATTTGCATTTTAAAAAGAACTCTTCTGATTTACTTTTATTCAGTTTGAAAACAAGTACACATACAGTTCATGCAAGTATTTCAAGATGTTGTATTTAGCAAGGTATTATGTGTGTGACCCACCTGTAGAGCAGTGTAGAGAGAGGTGCCTGTTAATTTATGGTAGGCAGCTCGGATACACAGCAGATCTTCCTCACAGTGAGACACCATAATCCCTTGCACTATTGGTGTCTGAAAGAGGGAAATGTTTTGTGTATGTAACAGTTATATTACACTGTAATATTTCCTACATATATAAAACAACCATTATATTTTGTGCAGGTTTGCCTTCAAAAGGACTATTGAATCACCTTTGCATATCTGTCCACTAGATATTTGTTTTTCTGTGGTCTAGGCAGAGGCAACCGGCACTGGCAATTTCATCTCCATAGCAACAAACTTTAGAGTAACTATTATAATTACGAGGCAATAATAATATATAATAACTATACCATATAGTTTTATGAATATTCTTTTATGACTAACTGATAAATAACAAAGTACCCATTCACTAAATTACCTAAGTGGTATATTAGACATGTTAAAAAGTTTTGTCATGCAGTGATGATAATAATCAATAAAGAACGATTCATAAAGTCTTTACAATGATAAATGCAATGATCAGTCACTTCATACATCCATCAATCAGTCATAGTTTCTTTTGACGATCTCATCATCAGTTACCATACATCATCAGAATACAAGATGGTGAATTTATGATGACAGCTTCTTACCTTTGTGCTTGTTAGTCTTTTGGCGAGGTAGACATCAGGGTTTTGAATGCACTGAACTGTTATGACACAAATATCAAAAAATATCAGAGGCTAATCAACGTGGACAGTGTATACTGCTCTCTCACACAGTATCTCAAACATTATCTACCTAAAACGTTCAAACCCAGGCGAAAGTCTCCTGTAAACCTTTTCTCCACAATCTGATCCACCATCTGTCCGGTCTCCAGCTCTAGTCCCATCAGCACTGTCAATGATATACAAGGTCAGGAGAATATTCATAAAACAGTGAAGAACTCCCAGAAATAAATATGTTCAAAAAAATATCACAGCCTCACCTTTGTTCAGATGGTCTGAGTCTCTAGAGGTCAGTATGTCAATCCATGGTCCTGCATCAGCTTTTTTCCCATTAAGGGATGCAGAGAGAGACTGGAATAAAAAACAACAAAACACAGTTAGGAAGGAATGAAATCTCAGACATGTCTGTCTTAGAGCCATGATCCATGCAGTGCTGCAGTAGTTTAGTGGGTACAGTATGACTGTTTTTCATACACTGCCTGGCAGACTACGATGAAAGAATTCCCTGTGTGAGAATGCCCCTTATTTCCAGGTTTATTATTAATATTTTCTGCTTGTGAAAAGGTAATAAATATATAATAAAACATTGTTGTTACTAGTTATTTGTGAAGTTCAAAGTATCCAAAGATGTACCAGCATTTTTCAGCTGGACTAATATCTGTCAGCATAACAATATATCAATTGCTTGTATCCTTACTGCCAAAATAGTGCACTGTCAATGTGCTTCATCATCTTAAAATATAGTACTGAAAGCTGCTCTTTACACCCACCTACAGATCACAACATTTGTGTATGAAAGTGTCATGAAAAATAATACCTTAATATCTCTTTGAGCCACACCAACAACATTTTCTTTCTGTTGGGAGAGAGGAGTGAGAAAACAATTTTAACTGCAATTTCAGGGCATGTCAGATTAGATTTTCAGAAGGTCACAGAAATGCTATTTTTACATTTCGGTAGTAATGTTGCCCTACCTCAATTTCATATCCAAGACAAATTGTTTTAATAATGTAAAAAAATTGGGTGCTCTATGCCCACTGTTGTAGCTTTACTGACTGTCCTCAACAAGCATTAAGGCCAACTGCTTTACTTATTAGGTTAAAGGTGATGGTAAAGGAAATTAATACTCAAATTACCTTTAGCAAAGCCAAAAGAAGCTTAGTAAAGTCTCCACTGGTCTCTCCTTTCAGTTCCTTCTCCAGGTCCTTCTTATACACTGAGGGAGACAAACGATATGAGAAATATCAGGACACAAGAGATTAAATATCTACGATATCAATCAAAACATTTTTGGGGAAAGAATAAGAAGGTTCTGTGACTTACAATCTTGGTACACAGCACTAACTTCTTGAAGCTGCTTTCCAGATCGCGTAGACAGGATCTCCATCAGTGTTTCCTCATCAGTGCCCAAACCCTGCAGACACAAAAGGAATTCATGTATACACAGAAAATACCCACGCCAAGTCCACCAAAATATGCACACAAATACTCACCGCCATGGCCTGTTGCAAGCGATAAGCCTCATACTGCAAAGGAGGCATCAGCAGTTCCAACAGTAGAACCTCCAGTTCTCCAGACAGAGCCTTCTTCAAGGCAGTTGCCAGGTCCTGGCACAGAGTCAGAATAAAAACTGATGTTTTCACATATCTCAAACATTGTATCTGGGTGTCTTTGTTGACGCTCAGTGTACCAGATCAGACAAATAAAAGGAAGTATCAACCCTAAAATATACTCTTTATTAATGGCCACAAGAAATACTAATTTGAAGATGCCTCAAATATAATTGGACCACCAACTACTGTACGAAATTGGTACTCGAGTTTATTAACCAGCAGGAATCCACAGTAACATTACCTGAAACTTTGGAGTTTCCCTTTAAGGTAATCTGATACCAACTGCAACTGAAAAGAGATTCCTAGCTGTGTGACCACAGGATTACAGTGTGTCTTCTAGATACTATCACGTCCTTGTGTAAAAGAAAATTACTTCTAAAAAAGGGAAAGGGACCAACTGTTGTGTTCTTTTGTTGATTTCAAAATATACCCATAAAACCCATACATACCAGAACATCACATAGATTCTCTACCACACACTGAACCCACATCATTTGAGGTTATGATGCCCATACTCCCTCTATAAACAAAGGTGTGTTCAAACCCTTTAAGACCAGTTTAAATAATGTTGAATCAGCAAACACTTGGAAGTTACAGATGAGCAAACACACACATTTGCGACATACAGTATTATCATTGCAACACTACATTCTGTTGTATTGTATAACATGGACTTTTTTAGGGAATATTTTTCATTGGGGCTTTAGAAGTTGAAACTATTATTCTGAATATCATGTTTCTAAAAGCTTTATTAGAGCCTTCTTAATCTTGAAAATTGCTAAATTCTGTAAGAAGTGCTGTTTTAAACATATTCAAGTCATTTGTTTCTTTACCTTTTGTGTTATTTCCTTAAAGGTCTGGGCGATCACTTGCCTCTGAGCGTTGTTCCGATTGGTGAGGATCCTCACTAGAGTCACTGCATCTGAGTCAGGTAGACAATGTTTGGACTTCAATTATGATGTAATACTGACTATTTAATGATGGGGTGTGGAATGTTAAGAGTCAAAAGAAAATATGGATTGGGTTCAGCTTTATGCAACAATGATAGTCAACAATACCACTCTACTAGCAGAAGTACCTTTCTTCTCTAGAGCTGCCTGGATCTCCATCGCATCCCGGTCAGGGTGGAAATTGGAGAAGGGTCGCACCGTTCCAAGCGTACCCCAACACATCTCCTATTTTAAAGAGAGAGAGAAACCAAAAATGTATACAAACTAAATAAATACTACAAAGACTGAAAGAAGAGTAGGCATAAGTCCTGACATAGGACCTATATTCTGTCTGTTTCTATAGAACATTTGATAACTGATAACTGGCAGGGAACATGTGGAATGTGTAACAAGAAAACAAGCAAGATGATAATGCATTTAAGCAGGCATACCATGAAGGTGATGGTAGAAGATGAGCAAAGATACAAGTCAGCTTTCATCATGTATGAATTTAAAGAATTTCAAATATTCTATACTCCTACTGTGACAGGTGGGGGGGATGGTTGGAAAATGTGTAGATTGGAAAGGCAGTTTGAGATCACTACTTACTTCAACAAGAAACACTGTACTTACAGCTAAATCTCAAACATCATATTACGCTTTAGGACAGAGTTGAGTTAGTTCAGTTATTTAAATTTAGTTAATTTAGTGGACTGTCTTTATATTAAACAAGGGTTAACCGGAAACACCAGTTCACATTGCAACATTCTAGCATGCCTGGAGTCATAATGCGCCTGGTGGCATTTGTAGATAACGTCAGAAGGTATGTAGATAATCACAGTGCACAAGACAGCTGATTATATTATCTACAAATGTGGTGTCTTGGTAAACAGAGTCATAATGCAATAGCAGAGAAAAAGTTAACTTACATAAGATTTGAAGTACTCAGGGTCCATGGCTTTGTTTAAACTGCAACAGAAAAATGTGAATAATACGGTAAATGGTCCATACATATGTAGAAACATTATAGTAAATGACATTAAACTCCACATGTATGTGGGAACTGAATTAAT